GGAAGTTTAAAATATTGATAATTTTGTAGGTTTTCCGAACGTGATGAAATGTTGACATTAGTGTTGTTAATATAAGAGCTATGGATTTTCTTAATCAACCAAGACAGGTACAAGTTGCGTTTGAGAACTTTAAACTTCGGAATTTTGTACTAAAGATTCCTTCACTTTTTCTAAAGAAGTAAACCAAGCCTTTAAAAATATTTCTTAGTATCTTACGATATTACAAGTTTATACAACATTATTCCATGACAAGAAACAAATGATATTGCCGTTAATAGCATTATAAATAGTAAAGTTAATCCTAAAATTAGTAAAAGTGAAGGAATTTTCTTACATATTAGACTTAATAAGACAGATCGCAACTCACTTGTATCTAGCTTTGATTCTTACATTTTTTTTTATAGAAGTTTTTTGATAGGAATCAAATTTTAGTGAAGTTGGAGAAATATTACGTGCCAAATTAAAGCTAACATAAACGAAAAAGCTATTCAATTTTTCAGCTATTTATCATTTATTGGGAAAATTCCCATATAACTGCTTGTATTTAAGACAAGTTTTTTAAGATAAGATTTTAAGGAATTTATATTTTTCAGGAGAGATATTGAGGAATTTTTTGGTATTAATTTGTTATACAAGTAAGGACCACAATATGCTATTGAGAATTGAGACAGTTTTCTTTTTTTAGGGGGTACTATATAGTTTCCAGTTGCTCTAGTGCTAAATTTGTTTATATTAGTTTTAAAAAAGTTATTCATAAATCGACTTGGAATAATTCCCATTTTATGTTTAAACATAAACAAAATATTTTGATATATATTAATTTGGTAAATGTTTAAAGCATTCATTTGTTTTAGTAATGGGTTTGCGTGAGTAAGTTTGTTTTTATAAAAAATAATTCTTGAGGCGAGTTTCTGTCGCCTATAGAGTGAACTTAATTTAGTTTCATGGGTACTTGCCCATGCTATATTGGCATATGATAGATAGCTGTGTATAAAGGAAAAATAAAGAAGTTTTAAATTTTCGAACGATAAATAACTTCTTGCTTTATAGAGTAGACCAATGTTTTTTGAGACTTTTGTATTAATGGTATTTATGTGAGAGTTCCAAGATAATTTCTCGTCAAGAAGCACACCAAGAAATTTAGATAACTGAGTTCGTTCAATAATTGTGTTGTCTATACTAAGAGTAGGTAAAATTGATGGGATAGCCTTTTTTTTTTGGTTGGGGTGAAATAAGATGTATTTAGTTTTGTTTAAGTTTAATGACAATTTGTTAGCTCTGAACCATGTGTTAAGTTTAATAAGTTCTAAGTTTGCGGTTATAAAGAGGTCACTGATTGAGCTAAAAGAATAAAACAGATTAGTGTCGTCTGCAAAAATTATGCAATCTAACTTAGATGAGACTTTAGGGAGGTCGTTGACATAAATTTCCGATTGCTAATGTTGCAACATATTTTTAATCGGATTTTTAAACCATAATTTTTTGAAGAATTAAACATTAAAAAAAACACACGCAAATTTGGATAAAAAAAAAATTTCAAAGGCAATATTTTATTTTCCATCATTTCAAAGCTCATAATATAGTTGTTTCGAAGATCTACAAAGCCTCAATCAACCATTTTATTGAGAAAAGGGTATTTTGTAACTAGTTCCAACAAAAAATTTAGAGTGCAAAAAATCTTTCTATATCTGTTTCTACGAATTTTTCTTTTTTTATTGTGTATTCTGTTTGATAACTGTTTTCGTTTAGTTTCACACATAATATTACTATTAAAAAGAGATTCTATATAGCATCTCTTTTTAAAATAGAAGTATTATATATATAGCTAAATACACAGATGCATATAGCTATATACACAGATTTTTTCATGCAATATAAAAATGAATATGACGTAGCGAATTTATATAAGAAAAGCATTGCTTATGAAGTGTATTTCTATAGAGATTTTAGAAAGCAAGAATATTTTTACTTTAATTTATTAACAAAAAGTATTGCTTAAAACAATTTTTACAAAATATTTTTCAGCAATAATATAAAAGTATTCATTTTTTTTATATTACATATTACAAAACAACATTGTTTTTAGTATAAATGCTTGTATATTTTTATGTTGACACTAATGTATGGTTACACTAATGCATAGCTGACACTGATGTGTTGTTTTAGTGTCAAGAATTATAGTTAAAAAAATTGCAAATGTATACTGCATTGTTTTAACAATCAAACAACATACCTTTTTTACCAAACTGGAACAAAAGCTTCTCATGTCTTGTGATAGCACTTCTACCAAGGTTCTTACTAGTGCAATACTGCCATATATTTTATCAGAACTGGGTGAAATACAACTTTCACATATTTATTTAGCTCAATTGTTTGTTAAAAGAAAACGTAATCTATATATAACGGAAAAGGTAAAAAAAATTTAGAGATGTAATGTTTCCTAGTGCATTTTCGAAATCTCTGGTTCAATGTTCTAAAGTATTGTTTACAGGGTAATTTTCTTTAACAACTTTAGGTTCAGGATTATCACTTTAACCCTCCTTCTCCTAGGTATTGGTGTCTTGTAGAAATTGTTTTTCTAGACATTCTTCTTTTCTAGAGAGAAATAAAATCTTAAATAAAAAATTTCCTGCCTTGATTAAACTATTTACAAAACCTCAATGTAGGGTTCTTCGCTGAGTAAAAATTAGAAATGGTGTCTTAATAGAAATACTCATCTTGGGCAGATGTTAACTCCATCCAGCTATTGTCTGTAGAAGGTCTACTAGGAAAAGACTGTAGGAGTAGGCAAAATAATTATGTCAACAAGCCTCGCACCCCTTCTTCATCTATTCGACTGACTTGGATGTAAACTTGTGTTACACTGTTTCCCACCTAGGATGATGAACGCTGGATCTTCTTAACTTTATTCATTGACTTTTGCAAGTGTCTCCTTGATAGTGGTTATCAAACTCTTTCTGTTATCTACTAATGAGGGGACAGCTCTAAAACTCAGTTTAAGGGTTTTGAGGTCGGTAATAAGGTTTCCCAAACTGTGGTAGCTTTCAGAGAGGTTAATTTCATCAAAAGCTGCAAAATATCAGGGTATTAACAGTGTCATATTGCGCATTGATGGTGTTTCTGTTAATGCTTTTAGTTTGCATTTTCGAAGCCACATTAGGAGTCTTAAGTTACAATTTTCGGATAATTTTATTTTTACTATTACTTATTTTAAATTAAACTGTTTTAAAAATGGAGAAAAATTTCATAATTAAATTTTCGGATGAAAATGACATTCTCTGTCATAATGACACCGACTCAAATTATTTTTATCACAAAATGTTAAAAAGTAAAAATACAATAATCTGTTGCTCATTTTCTCTTTTTTATTATTTGCAAATATATTTACGGTCGTTTTTTATTTTAATTTAGTTTTTTTATCGACTTTTTAAAACTAATAAACTAATAGGTATTTTAATATAAATTTTTTATTGTGGGTGTCATTTTTATTTGTTTACTTTTTGGAAATCAAATTCAAAAGCAAAGTTTCTTTAGTTTGCTTTTGAATTTTATTGTTTATTTTTGGTTTTCTAAAACATGCTCTATGATTGGCAGAAAATTTTGTGATAAATACTATTTCTTTAGATACTATTGTTGGTGACAAAATTGGTTATGATGCAAGCAACATCGAGGATGCCATTGGCACATATTAAAACGAGCCAAAAATAAATAAATATTTTGCTCAATTTTATTTATATATTAATATTATCAAAAATATTAATCTTTTTATTTTTTTGTAATGTTTTGTGTCAATACTGGGATTTAATTATTTATAAACTAACCTTATTATTATCCTAATGAAGGTTGACACTCATGTTTAATCCCAAAAGCACGTGTATATTAAATTTAGGCTTTGCGGGAAAAAAAAAGACTTTATTTCTTATAATTTAATTTTATTCAGCTTATTCTTATACCGAATTTATTTCTAACAACTACAAAAATGGAGTCTTGAGATTCAATTTTTTATTGTTGCTAGAAATGAAGTCGGTATGAGAATAAGCTGAATACAATTAAACGCTAAATAAACGGACAAAATTTAGACGTCCGTAAGACATTCAAAAGCTTAAACTTTTTAGGAGTAAAACTAAATGAAAATTTACTATGGTATTCACACAGGGCCGGCGCGAGTAGGTGTCACGTGGGGGGGTGGGTGGGGGTGCCATTACAACTTTTGCCGATTTAAAAAAAAAAAAGGTCCTCGTTTTCCAAAATTTGCCGACTGCCATGACGACATTTGCCGACTGTCTAACCTATATCGAAAGAGTCGACATTTGCCGACTAACTAGTCTAAAATGAGGTTTGACTTGAATCGTCAGATTGAAGTCAAACCTCATTCTACTTCATGGACTTTACCTTCTTGCGTTTGTCAAGATCATTTGTCACTACAAAGTGACAAATGATCTTGACAAACAAAGTTTTTGATAAAGTTTGACATGCTGGTCTTCTCTATAAGTTTGCTTTATATGCTGTATCGATATATATGGGAACATCTTAGAGATTACCAAATCATTTTTTTCTAACAAATATTTATTAAAGTCATCCTCAAAGACCAGCACTCTTCTTTTTTTCCAGTAACTACTAGGGTCCTGCATTGTTTCTTATCTACATTAATGATCGTTCTGACTATCTTACATCTAAAGTGGCTCTATTAACTGATGACTAAACTTTATACTCCTGTCTTGGCAAAAAGTTTTTTATTTTAGAAGAGCAGCTAATCTTGAACCTGATTTCTCTTCTTAAACATCTTGGGCCTTCCCGCCTTAAAAGCACTTAAGGGTCCCTTAAGGGCATGTCCTTAAGGGACCCTTACAAAAATGTCCGCGCGGATTTTAAGGGTCACTTAAGGGCTAGCCCTCAAGCGACCATAAAAAAAAAAACAACCACGCGTTACCACTCAAAAAGTGAGTAGTAAAGCGTGGTTATTTTTAGAATTCTTTTCTTTTTGAATAAAATATAAGAAATATTTTTTAAATATATTTGTTATTACCATTCATGTTACATAAACTGTTATATACTACATATTATTTACATAGCAATGCTATTCAAAATACAAGATATTATTTATTTAAAGATGTCTTTCGCTTCTTTAATCGTGGAGCCTTATCTTCGTTGTCCTCTTTACTTCTCTCGTCACTGTCTGTATCTTTCGCGTCAATCGAAACTGCTGTTTTCTTACAGCACCGTAGCCGACCACCAGGGCAATCTTTGACGTTAATAAAAAATCGTGCAACTTCTAACTCAACTTCGTTTTTCGTGATGCCGGGGAATAATTGAATAGTTAAAACTATAAATATATCATAATATAATAATCACTATTATAATTATTACAATTAAATAAATAGTAATTATTATCATAATTACTATTTGTTTAAGAGACTGTTACATATAACATCGACAATATAAATATGCGTATAAATATAAGTAAACTGTTAATAACAATAGATTAACAACTTGTTACTTCATTTTATTGTTTCAAACAGTGATTGTAAGTCAAATAGGTTACTCACAAGACTGTTATTTAAAACTTAATATCAATTTTTTATATCCAAATTATTCGAAGTAGCTCTAAATTTCACTCACTTTTAAGCAGATTTTCCAGGTGATCAAAAAACTTTTGCCATGTGTTCCGGGCCTGTTGATCATTTTTTTGTGTGTCATGTGTCAGCTACTTATTAAGCACTCTTGAAATATGGTCACAGGCAGTCAACCCTCCTTCAAGCATCATCCATAACAGCCTAAAAAGTTTAGAAATGCTTTATATAATTATTATTACATTCCAAAATCAACAGTTTATGGCTACTTGCATATTCAGCAATTAATAAAAACATACCATATTCTTTGGGTGCTTTTTAACTTCAGAATATTGTAGTACAGAATTGAAATTTGGGAACTGGATTTGGCTGATATTCTGATCAACAGGATCATTACAAAAAAGTTCTTCCAACTTTCCCTGCCTCAAAGCTTTCCCTGTTCAAAGCTTGTCAAATTAAATTGAATATAATTTAGTTCACAAAAAATGTGCGCACTTATAAGAAAGTGACCTGTTATGAAGGAAAGTGCCTCTTATAAAAGAAAATGACCTGTTACTAATGTTACTTAAAACAAATAATAATTCTTTTTTCCAAGAAAAAACATAAAAAATAAATACTGAGCCTAAGCAATATAAAATATTCAAACCTTATGGACTAGATGGTTCACCATTTAAACGATTGCAAATACTAACCATACTATCATGCATCTGTAAAAAACTTGAATCAGCGGAATATATATATATATATATATATATATATATATATATATATATATATATATATATATATATATATATATATATATATATATATATATATATATATATATATATATATAGATATATATATATATATATATAGATATATATATATATATATCAAGATAATACTTTTGCATGAAAAATAAATATTTTGCGGCATACATTTTTACTGATTATCTGTCTGTAAAACGCTTGAAACCTATTCGAAATTAAAAAGACATTAACATAATCATTATTAAATAAATCTTTTATATCTTTCACATAAACTTATTATGTAAAGATATAGAAGTATTTTAACAATTTTTAAAAAATTGCAGTTGCCTGGATAGATGCAGGTAATTGCAAACTAGAAATCTTTAAAAAGTATATATATATATATCAATAACACATAATAAAATAAATCTCAAATTATCATAAACAGCAAATTTAAAATAAGTTATGTTTTGATGCAATAAAACTAGAACAAAGCAATATTAAATATATTTATTTAACCTTTAAGGTTTAGAAAAAGAAATGAAAACATACATCAATTTGACAACTTGTAGTTATTGAAGAGCAATACTAAAACAATAAAAAGCTGTATCAAAAACTTGTCATTTAAAAAATTATAGGAAAATTATCTGTTTTTAAAATTATATTACATACACCTGATGATGTTTAGATATTTGTTTCTTTTGTATTCTAAAAATATGTAAAAACTTGAAATTTAAATAACATCAAAAAAATCATTTAAATAACATTGGCATCATTAGTTTTTAGCGGTGGCAGGGGCTTTAAAGCTGATTTAACAACAGTATCCTGGGCATGCTGAGCCGAAAATATCAAACTATTTTATGAATAAAAAATAAAAACTTAACAAACTGTCTAAACTGTTACAATAAATAAAACATTACCATTGACTCAGAACAAAAAACTTGATTGAAAAAATTTGAGTCCTTAGAAGCTGTATGAAGTGGATGGATTAAAAAAAAAATTGGATAATAATTTCTTTAAAAAAAATAAAAAAATCATAAAGAACTAAATAAACAGAAGATATAAACATATAAATAAACATAGTATTGTATTTTATATTTACATACACTGGAGGCAGCCATCTATTTAAGCCACAGACCAAGTTGAAATAAGTTTGTATAAAATTTATTGATTGTATTTTATTTTCATTTCATAAATAAACTTTAAAGTTTCTTTCAGGGCTTCACAACTTGTTGCACATTGCAAAACTAAAACCTAATCATATATATTCACAAAATAAAGCTTTGTATTGTAATTATAAAAAAATACTATCAAATTATGGTGATTTAAATTTACCTTTATCATATTATTGTTGTTTATCACCATTAATTCAACTCTTTTACAATTTTTTTTTTTTTTGAATTCTTCCGGATTCCATCCAACACCATTATCAGCATGATTAATTGATATTGATTTATCAGATAAACAATAAATTAAAACATATTTTTGACTGATGTACTACATCATATATTTTAATTATTACTAAATTATGTAAAGTCAGTAACAGTTCAAAATTATTATCAAATAGTTTTGATGACACAATAAAATAAAAAAATGTTGAAAAAAAGACGCTTTAGATATGCTTTTTTTGTCTCTAAATGCTTGAAATATTTACTGTAGCAGTATATTAGTTATATCTAATTTTAGTGCAAAATATTAAAACAACACGAATTGTTTTAGTATTATTATATTTAAATATTTACAACATAAAGTCTATTATGATATAAAAACTAAATTATCATTACATTAAAATGATTGACTCATTACACAGCCATTAGGAGTCAACCCTTGAATATATCATCTACAAGTGGTATAATGTACTCATTGTCATTTTTAAAACAAACACATTTATTTACGATCTTTACACTAATTACAATGATACTAGACAGAGTTTAGATACCTATACCAATTTAACTGGAATGATAAGGATGAACAATTACCATGCTACGATTGACAAATTACATCAATTTTATTAAACTATTTTTTTAATTATTAAATTAAAGCTTTTGATAATTGCAACGCCACGATAGAAAAAAACCATGCTTATAAAAACTGCGCATTTACAAAAATCATTCCGTAAAATGTTTTTCTTTCGAGTTTTAAAATTCCGTAAAATTTAAGTCGAATAAGGGCTAGCCCTGATTTTGCACTTACCGATCCCTTATTAAGATTTGCTATAAACAAATTTTAATGTTTAAAATTAATTCATGTTAGCTAAACTTTATCAAAAAAGTAAGATAAGCTATTATAAATATAAATTGATATAAAAAAAAAGGTCAAAAAAAATTTTGCTCTAGTATCCCCTTATCCCCTAAGGGACCCTTAAGGGTCCCTTATGTCATTTTAAGGTGGGTTGCAGTGGCTTGTGAGTTTTAACTTGAACAAAACTCAGTTATTTACTGAAAACAACTATTGCAATACTGTCGACATTCCTATTTCAATGAATGAATGGCAACCTTATCACTGAGTCCTCTTCAAACAACTTTTAGGATTAGCATTTGTTACTGACCTCACATAGAAACAATATAAATGGCAAATAAAAAATGTATAAAAATCAAGAAATATTTTTCAATTTACAAAAAACCTCCCTATTACTTTACTTTCTCCACTTCAAGCACTCTGAATGTGTATGAAAGAATGTATGTATTTATATAGCACTCTAGGATGTGTATGAAAAAATGTATATATATATATATATATATATATATATATATATATATATACAAATAGTATTGCGTACTATTGTAAGCAATCTGACGTCATACTGAGATAGCCTGCTGCTGGGGGCTTCAGTACATACATCGACTGACAAATAGCCTGACTCGCAGTGGAGTGCTGCTACATCGACTGAGGGTATGGGATGAGGAAGCAATCGTTTCATTCATCTTCGTTTTTTCTTCTTCTTTTTCGAAAAAAATGGTATAGCTTAAGGTAAGCAGAAAAAGTGAGCAAATGCTTATCATATAAATATCTTTACTTGTAATTGTTTATATCATTTTATTTTAGCTTGTATATTTTATGAAATTTTAACGTGATGTTTTAAAATGTAATAAAGAACAAATATATATATATATATATATATATATATATATATATATATATATATATATATATATATATATATATATATATATATATATATATATATATATATATATATATATATATATATATATATATATATATATATATATACAGTGCTCGAAATAGTTTTTCAAAACTTGCCGATCAAATGTAATTTTTTTGACAAAAACAGCTTATTTTCCCTTGAATTTTTCTAAATTTCCCTAAAAATAGCCAATCATTGATCGTTGATCGGCTGTTATTTCGAGCGCTGTTATATATATAAAATAAAAAAACACTTTTTTGATCATGCTCATCTGGTTGAACAAATTTTTAAGACAACAATTGTAAGCAATACTTTCTTAAGATCGCATCAAGTCATTCTTCACCAAATAAAAAATAAAACAACGTTAAAATAAGCTTTATTTTTTATTTCATTTCATTCTTTTTTTCAAGAAGGCTTTCATTTTCATCAATTGCAGAGTTCCACCATGTATATAGTTCGTCTTTTACATCATTCAATCCTTGTTTTCTTTTCCTGATTCCATCAAATGAAGACTGTACCTCATAATTTTGATTCAACATTGTTTGATTAGGGAATGAATTAACAGAAGCACCATCAAAATCGCTTTTTAAACTGCCGTCAGTTAATTCCGACTCGCCAGATCCTCCTAAATAAAAATCAATTAAGAAAGAGTTGCTATATCATTATTTTACTATTAAATATTTTTATTTCAATAATATTTAAAGAGTTGCTAAATCATTATTTTACTATTAAATATTTTTATTTCAAATCAATATTATGGTTAAATTACTTTTTTTATATATTGCGTGTTTTTCTGCAGTAAAAAGTTCATGTACGAAGTACGAAAGCATTACATAAAGATTATAAAAAAGTTAACGAACCAGATTAGTGACTATTTTATTCCTACTATTTCAATGATAAGACAATTATAACTTGTAAAATGCAACCGAACAGAATAATTTACCATGAAATACTATACAATAGTGCTTCATGGTGCTTATTTTATAAATATATTTTAGATACCTGGAAAATGATTATATTACTTAAAGAATTTTTAGCGAAACTGCAGTTGATCATGCACACCTAGCAAACATCGAGTTGATCATGCACACCTTATATGGTGTTTCATCTCGGGAACAAAATATTTAAAAAATCAGATTTTTTAATGACATTAATAAAAAAAAAAGAATGAGGTTAAGCGTAAAATTCATCATAAAAGTTAAAATTAAATGAGTTTTATCTACTAGGAAACAGTCTTGAAAACTGCCCAAAAGCCAAAGTGCTTGATGTTATCATGTTTTCAAGGTCAATTACTATAATTTTAGACATACATCTAAAAATCTATCTATTATATGGTAAGAAATTAATATAATATATATTAGAAAAATGGTTAAAATTGTTCCAGAAATTTGAATTTTCTTAATACTCAAAGGTTTTGTACATTATAACATGAACTACAGAATATACCAAAGTCAACTTTTAAAATTTATATGGAAGTTAACTTTTTAAATGGCTAAAAATTAAAACCTCATGTATAAGGTGTTGTTTTTTTTAAAACATCTAAAATGCAAGTTATTGATTTAACATATTGTCATTGATATTAACATATTAATTTAACATTATTGATTTAACATATTGTCAGTAGAATTGTTAAGAGAAGGCTACACGGAAAAAAATATTTACATTAAGATAATAAAAGGAGAATTCTTGAACAAAATAAAATGAAGCAAGAATTGCTCCCCGTTCCCATTTATTTTATTATGTATTAGTCAATGATTTGTCACTGTTTTTTATGTTGTTATTAGATTTTACCAGAATAGTATATATTTTCAATATTGATGTTATTATTACTTATTTATTACTTACTTTATTATGTACTTATAAATTTAATATATCTGTAAAATTGCTAGCACGTGAATTGCCAAAATTAGAGATGTTCTAAAATGTGTTTTTAAGAGAAGTAAACAAAAGAATCTAAAGCATAATATGGTAACAAGACTTAAAGACGCATAAAATAAGAGAGAGTACATGAGACAAGTCTCAAAATCTTTGGTTTCTTAAAATAGAGCAAGTAAAGATACTAAAGAAAAGATGAACATAATATAGTTCTAACAGTTCAATGTCGCGGCATCAATATAAATTAGGCAATTTATCTTATATTTGTATTAAGTTAGTGAAATACAGCTTCGTCAACATTTTGTGAAGTTGCACTTGTTTTGTCCAGAAGGAAATCAACTTTTTTTTAATACTTTTGATTAATTTATTAATTTTCGTGTACAAAAATGAACTTTGTGATGAATAAAACTTGAAGAACGTTGTCTCTAAACAGTTACATAGTTATTTCTCTAAATTGAAAAAATGCAGCACTTTTATATAAAGAAACTAAATTAGCATTATTTGGTTGCACTTGTTTTGTCCGATACTGTATATATACTGTGTCATTTTTCAACAATTTTTTTAAACTAAATCCCAGCCACCTGAATTAGTTGACTGGTTGGTTAAAAATGATTTTACGCTAAAAGAAAATTTATTGATACCCATTTTTAAGGTCCCCGCTTTTACAATTTGTGCCCCAAAAACCCCAACTTTTTTAACCAAAAAGCAAGGGTACCTTAAACGTTGACATAAAATACCAATTTTTTTTCTATAAACTCTAAAAGGCCTAAATATTAATTTGGAATTGGTTACAATAAAAAAATATATACTAATTTAAGTTAAGAAAAATAGCTTAAAACGCAATAACTTATTTAATTTTTAAGTATATTTAAATAGAATGATGCTTGCGATCGAATTTAACTCACGTGTGTCACAAACAAAATTAATCTTTTTTTTTCGAACTTTTTATTCTAAAAAAATTAGAAAAGATTAAAAAACAAATTCATACCATACTTTTACTAAAGCTAAGAATATTTTTTTATTATAAACTGCAATTTATAACTTTTTTACTTTAAAAATCAAAATTAATATGAAGATTTAAAAAAAGGATGCTACAAAAATTACGAGATCACTTTCAAAGACATTTTTATTCAAAGAAAAAAGTGTTGAAAAAACTTTCTGAAACACAGTTTGCCACAAATGAGGAAATTATTATTCATTTTCATTACAGTTATGATTAAAACATTAAAATGACTAAAAATTATCATTCAATATATTAACCAAGTAAAGGGCCATCCATAAAGAGGGGTGTTAAAGATAGTGAGTACAAAAGAAATCGAGTTAATTTTGAAAAAATAATGCGTACATACGCAGAGGGGGGAGGGGGTTTTAAGTCTTTGAAAGGGTACAGGTTTGTAGAAGGGAGGAGAGGGAAGGGGTCCCGAATCAGTGATTTTACTGCGTATGTACTTTATGGATGCCCCCTAATTAAATTTCAGTTTGAAAAACGAAATATATAAAATCTAAATTTAATCTTAATAACTCAGGCGTCTGTTAAAAAAAAATATTCCCACCAAAACTATGATTGGTTGTGCTTTCCAAGATAAAATGATGTCAGCATGCTCTGAACTAGCAATATTTTCACAGAACTGCATTCTTTTTCCTATAAAGAAACTGTGGGTCGACGGAGGATATGATGACGGCATATTTCATGACAAACACATCAGGTTTGCTAAATAATCTATAATTACAGTATTTTTATTTTTACAGAATTTTACTTTTGCTAATATTAATTTAACATGACTCTTCTCACTCTGCCTCTGATTTGAGGCTACAAAAAATTTGAGGTTACAAAAAGTTTTAAAGCAATTAGAAAAGTCAAATAAATATTATATGTTCTAGGAAACCATTAATGATCTAGTTAAAAAATGGGCAATTTTGAAAAAAAAAATAAAAATAAAAAAGGTAACGCAGCAGAATTAGCTAGAAACATCTTTAAAAAAAATGCTAAGAAAGTTTTTTTGGATCGGAAAACCTGATATTTGCTATATTTTGAAGAAGAAACATGGAAACAACCTAGATTCATACATTTTAAATAAGCAAATTTTAAATGATTAAATGACGAAACGTAAAATGACACTTGGTTTAAAAGATTTATCACATTGCAGAAAGCTGAAAAAGATAGAAGAAAGAAGATTGCGATATGTAACATTTATTGAGCAACAAGAGGATCAAACTGAGAAAATTGAGTTTTTATTATCAGAACAAAGTGAGGTCTCTTTTTGTCAAAATTCCGACTATTCAACAGACAAAATTAGATCAGGTACTAGTGCTCAAACAGTATTACCTAAAAATTTGCAAAAGAAGTTGCAATTACAGGTGTTTCTAAAAATATTTCATCTAGAAACATGATGCACTTGCTCTCTGACATAGTAGTTACTTCTGGGGGCAGTTTGACAGATTTCTCGCTTTCTGAATCTACTATCAGACGTGCAAAAAAGAAAGCAATAAGTACAAGTGCAGCTAAGTATCGAAAAGATATAATAAAAGCTGAAAATCAAAGTAAATTTCCGAGAATGGCACACTTTGATGGAAAAATCTTGCAGGATATTACTAACAGAACAAAACAAAAAAATAGATCGTTTTGCTGTTCTTGTAAATATCGATGGTGATTTAAGACTTCTTGGCTTTCCGCCAATAGAAAACGGTACTGGAAAAACTCATCATGATAATTTAATAAACATTTTGGATAAATATAAGCTAAGAACTTATATAAAGGGTCTTTTGGGAAAAAGTTCATATTGGTAAAACTTAAGCTCCTGAAAATCTGATGTTCAAAGTTTTCCAAGCTAATTGGAACGCAACAAAGGAAACTATGGATAAATCAAAGTTCAAAAAGTATGACAAAGCTGCAATTAAAGGAACATATCTAGAAAAACAGATCAAAAACACTGTTCACTTTTGCAAATATGCACTTATCAATTTAGTATTTCCAAGAGGTAATTATAAAGAACTAGTAGATCTTACACTCACCTACTTATGCCCAGATGTAAGCTTTAATGTTTATGCTCCCAGATCAGTTTCCCATGCTCGTTTTATGGTGAAGTCTATATATTATCTTAAAATTCAAGTTTTAAGTAATTAGTTGCCCTATCAATTGACAGCTTGTTTACAAAAAGAAATCAGTAAAATGGCAGAATCTTTTTCTATATTTTATATAGTATGGTTTTTGCGCTCCTCTTTAGTTTTCTCTGCACTTTATGAAGATTTAAATGCGTACTGGCAGATGGTAAAGTATAAACATTGGGTAGAATCTTATGATCCAGGAGCTAATGATGTACTAGAGGGAATTGAAGAACTATTGAAATCAATGGAGAGGCATACGTGGTATTGGGATCAAACTTTGATTCCATAATGTCTCGCAGATAAAGAACTCGAAGGTGATGAGAAACAAAAAGTTGAAAAAGTTCTTTTTTCACAATCTGTTCCTACACACTATGAGAAATCTGAAAATCCAATCCTCCTGAAAGATCTAAACTTCACCCAAGATAAACCACCTAGCTTGTCACTTTCATTGAATTTGTTTGCCAAATATATGTTGTCAACGACGATCCGAACTGTAAAAAAAAGTAAAATAGATGGAGGAGGGTGTGTGAAAGAAACGAACTCTCCGCAGCCCACTGCTAACCCTCCTATTTGATAAAATTAGTCACGGAAAATTGGAGAGATAAAAAAATTGGTCAATAGGTATATCCATAAAATTAACTTAAA